TTTGATCCCCAGCAACACGTTTGGGGGTTGGATCTGCAGTTCTGAGCATGTTCCTACTATTGCCACACTTGTAAAAAGACGATGACCATTGACCCTTCTCTGTATTGCTTCAAGTCTCCTGTTCTCCTTTTATTTTTGACACTGACTGGAGAGCACAGAGGGCCGGCCTCAAGCCAGCGCATGCCCAAGGCCTGAAATACAATTGCATTTCTGAAATGATTTAAATTTGCACTCCTAAAAGTTGCGTTGTTACCCATCTGTGAGCAGGAGCCAGATGGAATACACAACATCTGGCGCATCATCTCTTGCCAAAGAAAGAGGTAAACAACCAGCACAGTCCAAAACAGCCAGGATCCAATTAAGCATCTTTCAGAGCAAAGGAAGCAAAAAGAAAAAGTGGCCTGGGTGGCTCCAGGAGCTTCAAACATTTGCTTTAGAGTGAGTTGGTACCAGCAGTTACTCAACGTTTTGCCTTCTAGCATTAGGATGTTATCCTTTGACTTTCCACTTATAAGTTAGTTAAGGTATATTATTTTACCTCTTAATTGGACTAAGGAAAAAGTAGCTCAGGCACTGATGACTTCTCCCCCCTCAATTTTTCCCAGGTGTGGAGTTTAGCAGAGCAGGGGTTGCTGACTGACACACTGGATGGCACGGGAGAACCAGTAACACTCTTAGCCCTGCACGACTGCACTTTGGTGTCTGCCTCCCACAGCACACCCTCCCTAAGAGTCTGGAACCTGATTTATAACCATCAGCAGAAAAACCCAGTGCCTGCCCCAAATACCGGCTGCGCTGCACTCTCCCACGGGGGGAACTATGTCTATTTTACCCAGACTGAAGACACACAGAAAGTCATCATCTGGAACACCACAGAAGGTGAACTGCAGCTCAGAAATACTGCATTAAATTAAGCCTGCACATGGGGTAGGAGAGAAACAAAGCAGCTCAGGGAGGCAGCAAAGGAAGGGTTAGCTTTCTGAGCGTGTGACATGCATCAGCTCCTCCTTTCTGCTTTTTCTAAGCAGGAGATTTAGGAAAATTTGTCTCAGGCTTGGAGAGCTTTTTAATCTCCTTTTCAAAGGTGTGTCTAGAATAGCTTATTATTACATGGGAAACTTGGAAATACAAATAATATGCAAATTATTTCACAAATAAAGAAGCCAATCATGAGCCCCATCTGAGGGATGACATTCACATGCAGTTAAGAGTAAGAACAGTCCTCATTTCCTTCTGTTTTACAGGTGACGTGTGTGACACACTGGACACCTCTGCCCGAGTGAGATGCCTGGAAATAGCTGAGCAAAACCAGCTCCTTTTCACAGGGCTTATATCTGGAACAGTCCTTGTCTTTCCTCTGAACTCCAGGCAGGACGTAGCATGCATCCCACCTCCAGAGTCACAGAAACCAGTCAAGGACATAGCAATCGACAAGCAGGAGAAGCAGCTGGCCATAGCATACGATGATTTAGTCCTTGTGCTGGATATTATCCCTGCAGATCCATGCCCAGTGATCAACAGGCCCACCTACACCTTTAAAACGCAGCTCCCCGACGCTCTGATTTCCAGAGTGGCCATCCTCACAGATCACAGACTCCTCTACGGCATGACCAGCGGGGAATTATTCCTTTATGACTGCCCTCGGGCCCGAGTGTTTCCTTTGGAAGGTCACAGAAACCAGATCTCCTGTTTGGAAAGCAGCCACAGAGAGCAACAGGCGCTCAGTGGATCTGAAGATTCCCTGCAGTGTCTCTGGGACTTGGAGTTCTGTCAGCAGGAACACGAGATGTGCTATTATAAGGTACTACAGTGGTAAGACAGGGTCAACAGTTGATCACTGCCCTGATCACTCCACTGTCAGGGAGGATCCAACTGACATCCCACTTACAAGTGGAATAATGGGCTTTTGTACACGCACATTAGTCTCTCTTTCCCCCACAGCTACAGCACTTCAAAAAGCAGAGCCTTTATTCTGTGATACCTCCCACCCTCTTTCCAGAATCAACCTTGTAAAATCTTTATTACCTCTATTCTTACACACTGAATAACCACTGACTGCTCTAAGGCATCTTCTCTTCAACCTGTATTTACAACCTAATCCTAACCGTCCGTTTTCAGCCCACATCCCTCCTGAGAGGAATCTGCTGCGCTTGCTTCTCAAAAGACGACAAGTACTTGTACAGCGCGTCGCTGGATCAGGCCATCACAGTCTGGGATGTCACAAGTGGTGAGTAACAGGGAAATCCTAGCAACAACAACGAGAAAGCCTGTACTCCTTCCTGTATTAAAGAGGCTTGTAGCATCCTTCATGTTGTAGGAAGGGAAACGTGCCACTCAGCAACAGTTTGCGTGTGAGAACACAAATCCCAAGGCAGCCCTATTAGCGTTGTGACTGGGAGCTGCAATTGCACTACTACAGCTGGAACATTCCAGCATACAGTAGAGAAAAATATTCAAATATCAGCAGAGAGTTTAAGGGCAAAGCAAAAAAAAAATCTCTGTTAAGTCTCTATTATGCAAATCCTCTATAATGCTCTAAGGAGAAACAAGCAGCGTGGCTTATTTTTCCCCCTCTCCTCCTTGCTCTTGATGTGACCCAGTTTTACTGAGGTAAGTTGTCTGGTGACAAGGGACCATTTGAGGGAAGTGACAAATAAGTCCAATCCTACTACACAGTAAATGCTTTATTCTGCAGGTGCCTTGCTGGCTGTACAGTGCGTGTACACAACTGCTCACAGAATTGTGCCAACTGCAGACGGATTTGTGGCAGTAACAAAAGCTGGTTGTATAATTCGTGAGCAGTTTCACTGTCCAAAAACCACCCCTCCTCAGTATAACCCACTCCAGAACACGGTGGCAACATGTACAGTAAAATCCAGAAAGAAAGACAGGGAAAACTCAAGCAAGCAACAGTACAGCCAAGGAAATCCTTCTGGGAGCCTGGCTCATACCAGCAGGGTCTCTCAAATCTGCTCCGTGGCATAAAAAAGCAAAGATGAATAGGATAAAGCAGCACCTACACCCAGGAATGAGCATGTGGGCTTCTCTTCCTGTCCTTTCGCCCTAGTGCCTCAGAATTACAATATTAAATGTTGCTGAAAACTCCCCTTGCTGCAGTTATTGAGTCTGTTGATACCTTGGCACAACGCGACCGCTCCCGCGTACCACAGTAATAACCACTTAAGAATCATGGAATTGTTGGGGTTGGAAGGGGCCTTCTAGAGATCATGGAGTCCAACTCCCCTGCCAAAGCAAGGGCTGCCCAGAGCACATCACTCAGGAGCATCCAGGTGGGTCTTAAAGATCTCCAGAGAAGGAGACTCCACACCCTCCCTGGGCAGCCTCTTCCAGGGCTCTGCCACCCTCACCCCAAAGAAGTTCTTCCTCAGATTTGAGTGGAACTTCCCATGTTTCAGCTTGTGCCCGTTGCCCCTCGTCCTGTCACTGGGAACCACTGAGAAGAGTCTGGCTCCATCCTCCCTCAAACTGCCCTTTAGAGTCATAGAATTGTCTAGGTTGGAAGGGACCTTAAAGGTCATCTAGTCCAACCATCAACCTAACTCTGACAAAAAAAATAGATAAGAAATAAGAAAAAAAACAAACAAAAAAAACCACACCAAAAACCCCACACTAAACCATATTCCTGAGGACCATGTCAACCCATCTTTTGAACACCTCCAGGGATGGTGCCTCAACCCCTTCCCTGGGCAGCCCATTCCAATGCTGGATAACCCTTTCCGTGAAGAAATGTTTCCTAATATCCAACCTAAACCTCCCCTGGTGCAACTTGAGGCCATTTCCCCTTGTCCTCTCTCCTGGGACTTGGGAGACGAGACCGACCCCCGCTTCTCTACACCCCCCCTTCAGGTAGTTATAGAGAGCGAGAAGGTCTCCCCTCAGCCTCCTCTTCTCCAGGCTGAATAACCCCAGCTCCCTCAGCCTCTCCTCACAAGACTTACTCTCCAAACCCCTCACCAGCTCCCTTGCCCTTCTCCGGACCCGCTCCAGCCCCTCCATGTCTTTTTTGTGGGAAGGGGCCCAAAACTGGACACAACCCTCGAGGTGAGGCCTCACCGATGCCGTTATAAACATTAAGAAAATTGAGTAAGAAAAAGAAACAACCCCCAAACGGCCCTAAACCCACACGTTATCCCACCACACCGCAGCAGGCTCGACATCTCGGTGCCGGCGGCCCCTGCGGCCCTGACCGCGCCCACCCCGGTACAGAGCCACCGGGGACTTGGGCCACCGTTACCGAGCCCTCCCCTTCCCCCAGCCCCAACGCCCTCACCGCGCCGGTTCCCCGGTCATCCCTTCCCTCTTAGGCCGCTCACCGGGGGCCAGGAGCTGAGGCGCTGCTCCCGCCATGGCGGTTGAACGGCCGGAAGCGGCGGGAGGCGGGTGCCCGGGTTCCGGCGACGCCGTGCGCGCTGACGTTCCACGCTCCGCACGCGCTGACGGGGGCCGGGGAGCGGAGGGGCGGGAACCGGGGGCGGGGAAGGAGCCGGGAGAGGGAGGGAGGAGGAGGAGGAGCAGGTGGGGGCGCAGCGCTGCTGCCCGACTCCCAACATGGCGGCGGGGGGCGGCGGCGGCCGGG